AAAAGAAGGAATGGGCACTGAAAGCAACTAATTAAAGTACAGCCAATACTAAATTAACTGGAAATACTCAAGAAAAAGGCCTGAATGGCCTTGTGGATAGGTCAGCAAATACAACAACTCAAAGCACAACTTCAGACAAAAAACAGAAACAAAATGCTGGTTCATGTATTGAACATGATAGAAATCTCTTTTTTCCAGAGTAAGGAATACAAATTCTCATGCATCAGGGTTTAAAACACTCCTAACTGACAGGGGTCTGAAAAAAAACTTTTTCTATGGAAAAATTATTCTATTATTGTCTACAATGTCTTTTCTTTTTACATTGCTGGAGAATCTGGTAATGCTGGTCAGAGACAGGATAAGAGACAAGTCAAGCCACTGGTCAGTTCCAAACTCTATCAGTCACTACTTTAGTGCTTTTGAAAATCATTATGCATGTATGATGAGTATTTAGCGGGTGAGTCTACACGTGTGCTTTAATACACAGTAGCCTATACTACTGCACATTAAAGCATTACATAAAAAACCATGCAGGGATGCTAATGTGCAATAAAATAGCCTACTTGAAAATGGTGTGCTTTCATTACTGAGCATTAAGGCAGCCTAATGCACATTTCTTTAGTACCTCACATTGGAGGTACTAAATTTAATGCACATTAGAAAAAACGCCTTAATGCATATGTAGATGCACCCAGTGAATCATAACTTGTTGAAAGATAATTTTTAATCAAAAGGCAAGAAAATCTATTATGTAACAAAATGTTCATTTATAGGTACTCAGCCACCACCACTATGATGCATAACTGTAACTCAAAGATGAAACTCAAATATTTTCAGGGAGCAAGTATACGACTATAACTTAGAGCTGGCTATGTCTCCACGAGATGCTGACTGCACAGTCATTACTGCACAGTCATTTAGTAATTGCACAAGTACTGAATGACTGCACTGTAATCACAGTTACTACACAGCAGCGTCACCAAATGGCTTTTAGGTGACACTGTGCAGTAGCTCATTCCTAGTGCACAGTAGTAGCATCACATTGCACTTTGTGCCACACGACACTGCTGTGTAGTAGTAACTAGTTACTGTGCAGTCACCGTCTTGTGTAGATGGAGCCAATGAATACTAATGGCACTCCTAGTTCTACTTCCTACTGGCAGACTAAAGGTTCAAGAGAGCAGACGATTTGATATTTTATCAGCATGGATTCTGATATAAAGTAAGTGAAAAGTACTCTGATTATAAATGAAGGAACAGATTTTTCCCATGCTAATCTTTCAAACTATAGTGAGTTAACAAACATTTTCGTCCTGGATAATTAGCTGCAAATCCTTACTCACTGGAGACACAAAATCAAAACCCTTTGAAAAGCTTTGGAGATCTATCTAAACATAGCTTTGGGTTGCTTTTTATTGTCCAGTAAAGGAGCATAAATGTATATTTTATAGTTGGGTTTTGCACAAAGTACTTTCCAAAGCTTTGAGATGCTTTTCAGCATTTTGAAGAACAGAATGAAATATCTAACAGGAAAATCTCTGGGAACTCAGCTTGGCACAACTTAAAGGGAACTTGAAAACAGCAGGAAAAAGGAAAAAGCTGTGACTTCTTTTCTTTTTGCGACATTTTGGAAACAAAAGAGGACTGTTGGGAGACCTGAGAGAAGGAAAACTTTACAAGGTTCTTGATAGGAAGCTTGCTTCAAATACTTTTTTTTTTCTTGGGGGAGGTTTGCCATTTCAGACCCTGCAGAACTTTGAATGGTTGTCAGAGATCAAGGTCACTGCTGTGGAAATACTTACTGTATGAATCTGACCCACAACCTAGCCCTTGAGAGTCTCCTATGGGTGCCTGTCTGCATAGTATCTCCAGAGGAGCCACAAGTATAGGTCCCCCAATGGGTGCTATTAAATTTGAGTGCAGGGGAAGCATTGCTCAGACATTAATACAACTTTGGGCTATGCTAATTCTTGAGCAGCCCTACTCCCCTCCCCTGGCTACTTTTCCTTTTTTTGTTCATCATCCAGTGCTTACCCCAGATTTAAACAAGAAAGAAAGTCTGGAAGATTTTTTTCCCCCTTGAAATAAATATATCATGGAAAGATGCAGCTGGAAAAAATATATCTGCAAAAAAAGTCATTCGAATCTTTTAAACATTCCTTTTCCACTGGGTTTACAGGGTTACATTTAAATGCATATTTAAGCATGTCCATGATCTAAATATACCATCCACACAGAAGTATCTAACATTTCTCCTCTTTTTCTTGTCAGTCAGCTCATTCTTTAACAAATTTTATCATCAGCAATAGCAGTTGCTCAGGATCTTTTTTCTTAAAGAACCCTAAAGCAGGTGCAAAGTATTTCCAGGGACTATTTGACACATCACTAATCACCTTTCAGGTAAAACATAACAGCTGTTTTACACTGCAGAGCAGTCAGGAAACTTGGGTGGGCAGTACCCAAGTTTTCAGATTTTAAGGCCCAAAGGGCTCATTGTGTTCATCTAGTCAGACCTCCTACAGGCTTTAGTACTTCATGCTATAACTACTGCATTGAAACCCAATCACTTGTGACTGAAGTAATATATTACTTTTTGAGATGCAGTTTTGATGTAAATGTTACAAGTACAAGACTAGAGCTCTCAGGTTTCTTGTAGTTCTCATTTTTCAGACAAATAGAACGACATTTTTAATGGATCATGATGAGTGACCACGGCCTTTGTTCTCACACTGTTTCCGTATCCCATATGAAAGCATGAATTTAAACAGAAAAGTAAAAGTAAGATGAACTTCCAGCAAAATCTTAGGTGTGGTATGGCAGGCTTCAGTCTGAGTATGTCTTTAACCTTCCTGTGTTGTTTTTTTTCTTTTTTTCTTTTTACTGTATAGATTCTGATTGGAGCTGTAATTTCAATGGGCTCTGCAGACAGAGATGGTCGTCTACATCCTGGTGATGAGTTGGTGTATGTAGATGGGATTCCAGTAGCTGGCAAAACCCACCGATATGTGATTGATCTCATGCATAATGCAGCCCGAAATGGGCAAGTGAATCTTACTGTGAGAAGAAAGGTGCTATCAACAGGTATGTTAAAAGGAGATTGGGGAAAAAACAACCAGCCTTATCCTGCATTAGTAAGATGCATAGTAATTTAGATACTGTTTAAAAATAAAGAAATAAATAACTTCAGTATAAATATTTCTATCTTAAAGGGAAAAAAAATTGAAAAGTTTTGTGTGCCATCCCCTGGCAGCATTTGTCATGCAAACAGTGCAGCACAGTGTTCCTTCCTAGACAATCAAGAAGTAACACTGCTTTTCCTGGTGTAATGTCATGAGCCTTTCCAGTTTTTAACATGCTGTGTTGTCCCATGTCTTCCCCGTTTGTGCCATTTTAGGGCCAAACAGTGCTTTGCTTGTCACTGGTCTTGTTGAAGTCATCCATGTCAGTAAGGCAAGCAGGAACAGGCTCAAAGACTAAGCTATTTAAGGAAAAGGTGCCTTTTATTAGTTTGATATTAGTTTGTGCCCCCTCTGAAGTTAATTAGCATTCTGCCATGGACTTCAAGGGAGCTGGCTCAAGCCTTTTAGTGTTATTTAAATAAATCCTAGGAACAGGGTAGTTTGGTTCCTCTCTCCAACCATTTCAAGTGACAAATTTAAAACAACATTCAGAATGGAAGACAAATTAGTTACAATTTTTTCAGCCAGAAACAAATGAGGTGCTACTAACACAAAGAATGGGATTTTTTAAAATGTATATCCTAGCAGCATCTATTAGTAAGAGTTCTGTTTTCATTCAGATAAGATCTCTGCTTATGTGGAGAGAAAATGGTGTTTAATAATCTAATATAACCCTGAGAACACACTTGTCATTAGTGCACCTTACTAGAGGATCAAAAGTGAGCAAAATCCTGCTAACAACCCTTCTGTTTCCTCCTTCTCCATCCACTAAAGAGTCTTTCTTCTTTCCCTGCTTCATCTCCCTTGCCTTTACCTCCTTGCTCACCCCCTTGAGCCAAAGAGTTTATGTTCCCAACCCAATTCTTGTTCTTCATAGTCCCTATCTCCCACCTCTGGCATGCTGTCAGTTCTGTGCCAGTGTTCCCCCATCTTGGGACTGACTTTCTTCTGTTACTGACTCTAGAGTCCTGCAGCCAGAAACCCTCCCTCCAACCTGGCACAACACCGCCAAGCAGCTCCCCAAACTCTAGGAAAATGGCCAGTAACCAAGGTAATACACTAAACATATGTGAAGTACTTAGTTTCCTAAGTACATAGGGGTTGGCAGATCTTATCAGCCTATATAGAAGTAGGGTGCAGGCAAGACAATGGTAAGCAATAATACAGAGTAGTTGTAATTTGGTGTTTGATTGCCATATATTATGTACAGAACTTTGTAAGAGGTTCTACTACCCGCACAGCACTCCTGGCACAAAGACTGAATTAACCTGGTAAAACACCCTGAATTATTCTTTAGCCTTGATAGCGACACACTGAGAAATATAGTGTCTGACTCATTACTGTTTACCTGCTTATGAACCTATAGGATGTTAAATTAATTATAATATATTATATGTTCTCTGAATAACAATGATGCATAATTTACATGGAGATAAGCTGAACAATACAAAACCAATGAAAATATATTCGCCCACATCACACCTAAGACTGATTGGGTTGACATGAATTTGTCATTCAACTGGGCATGTGCAATATGAAGAATTTGGGCTTTCCTTATGATGTTGTAAAATACTTGTACATCAAAAAGTAGGTTGCAAAAGTATTTTCCCAGTGCTTTCAATTAGTCTTACAGTTTTGTAATGCTTTCATTTCATATTGATGTACAACATTAAGGTCTTGATTCTGCAAGAAACAGGGTTTATGCAGAGATGTCTACCTGCACACTGTAACTGTAAGGATTAAGGCCTTGTTATCTATGCATTCAGTTTAAAACAAATAAACCTTTTGTATTTGGTGGGTATGTCTGATGCTCATCTAAGTTTAAGTTATGCAATTTCAGTGCGATCAATAGGCTTCCACAGGTTTAACTGAGAGAAGAATATGATCAGTTTTCTCTGCGTGGCAAACATGTTTGCTTTGTGGAAAAATCAGAAATACTTGGGGGGAAATGTAAGGAAAACATTTGCAAAAACAAAATAAAAAAAATTGCTTCTTTTTTTAAAAAATGGCTTCCTTTTTATTTCCCCTGACATAACAATTGAAAAGATTCATGCTGAATGTTGTGAATATTTAATACACTGACATTCACAAATATGTTTCTCCTCTGTCTAGTTAATAGTTTCATGTCCTGTGAATGATATTTGGAAGTTGTGGAAGTCAAGCATAAAAGTACTTAGAAAGCTTGAGCTTCTCTAGAAAGAAAATAAAAGGAACAAATAAGCGTGAGAGAAAGGACAAGCTGTAGGCAGTACTGGTTGAATAAACAGAATAGGTGTAGAGGAAGGGCTCTAAAAAGAAAAGTCTCCTTAGGTGGGCCCATTACACACACTCCCAAACCACAGACTCAAGACAAGGGCTGTGCAGTTATTGTTGGCTTCAGTTTCAAACACAGCCCAGCAATTTTATTCATAAATTAAAGAAAAAAACTCCAACCTGCAAAGAGAATCCCTCCTCTCCTCCATGTCTTCAAGGGCTTTCTCTAGGAGATGGGGTAGAAAGATGTTCACCAGTTTTGAGTTGTCAGAAAATTAGCAAAATCTGAACTTAGAAGACATCACCCAAAAGGAGTTTAAGATTTGATGTGAATATTTTGTACGGCTTGGCAGCAGAATCATAAACTGCCTCTTTCTCCAGAACTGACATAGCAACTTTACCAACCCTGAAACCTGTTTTGTTAGGAAGGAGTGTCAGTTGAAAGCATGTAGAAATTAGAAGCTATTTCTTTGCAAGAAGAGTAAGCAAAATTAAATATTTCTGATGAAAATCTAATAGCCATCTAAACTTCTCTTTCCCTCCTTTATCATTCTTTTCCTGTACTTCATACCAATCTGTTGCATTCATTTCTAGCTAAGCTAGCTCCTGGTCATTTAGAAGAGAAAGATAATTTTCTTTTTGTTATAGTCTGACTGCATGACTGGGCTATTAATATCAAGGGCTATAGGCTGTACAGGAGGGACAGGACAGGGAGGAAAGGTGGGGGTG